AATCTGTTTGCGTCGCATCAATTAAAAAAAAACGGGATCGATGGAGTGCGGTAAAGCCCGGGCAGTGGGTCCCAGCCAAACTGAACACGAAATAAGTGATCATCTGGCTGCCAAGCAGCGCTCTGGTATTCACTTTTGCCTTACAAGAGGAAATACCGCACATCTGTGCCATGCTCTTCACCTTTTCTTTCTATTGAAAAGTACAAATGGTTGAGCTCCCTCGCAGGTTCAATCGGCGGATCCCTGTCAGAAATGTTCAAAGAATACAAGCGAATGATGACACTCGAAAAACTGATCTCTACTGTATTTACGGAGGCCAGACTCAACGAGATATAAGCACAAAGGAAGCGATGCTTTACAAAATAGGTTTCATAATCGTTGTTAGTTGAGATCAGTTTACCAGTCTGTTTAGACCATGGGCAGCTATCATAAAGTACTCGAGACAGCCTTACACACACGCTTTCGATTAAGAGGATGACTTGTTGGGAATGCGATAAATATTCGACCGTCTAGAAAATAGATTATGATTACCGAATCTACAAAACAAAAGCCACTAGAGCTATTTGAGAGTATATACATGAAATCTACACGCGTCCAGGGTAGAGTCTGTTTCCTGACATGAAGAGCTTAGATACACTGAGGCTGGACCCAGGGGAATTCTAAAAATTTTGAGCTTAACGTCCTTGTTGGAGGATCCAACCAAGTGGATAGACTCGTGTCAATCATATCAAGATCTAACCAATTACACAGTGAGGACATTACGCTTCCGTGTCATCAGTACAAGAGCGTCATCAGTACAACAACGTCATCACTCTGTACTCGATTAGCACACGAGTGCCACGACTTTGTATTTGAGTAATGGAGAGGACATTTGTGGCATCATTTAATGATGTCACAAGTGTGTGCGGAATCCGTCGCAATGTAATTACTATATTATTTGTCTTCATAAAGCACGTCGAAGATGATTTGTACCACGAAGATCCACCTTCATACAATTATAGTGTATGGCCCATTACAACATCATCTTATTCAAGCTTGAAGTACATAGTGTTTGTTTGCAGACCGCTCTGAGCAGACAACTTTTCCATCGACAATGAAGCGAGAAAAAGGGTCAGGTAAAAAGGAACGAGACATGCTGAAAAGGCAGTGAACGACTCCATACTTGTGCGACATCTTATACATTCAAAGAAGCGAGGAGGACGTCGGTTCGACAGGGAGTTATTTTGTCCTTTTTCGCAGGATTTCTGGCTGCGACGATCCTCATCCCAAAGCTCAGGCTGTAGAAGACCTTTGTCGATCATCTCAAATGTTCGCTAGGAAGCATAGAAGGAATGCTCATTGTAGTGGTCGCGCGTGCATCACAAGCTCAATTTGGAGCTGCAAATCACGTCAGGAAAATTAGACAGAAAACCCGCTTGAAGATCTCACATGTCAGAGTTCAGACAAATAGCCCAGCAATCGTACTCTAAAGCAGCATCGACGGCTCAACTGTATTTTTCTGCCGATGATTTGGTCAATCTCCGTGTCCAACTATCGACTCGACGATTTAGTGACACTTTCCCTGTATTGGTCGTAGAAGGTTGGGATCGATCGTCTGTGAATCTAATGTAAGATCCGCTTATCCACTTAAAGATACGACTTTTGCTCTACCCACATAGAACGTAGGGTTGCGGAGGTATGGCTAGCACCAAAACATCATCATAGCGTTTTACTACGTTAAACACTCCACAAATCCTAGTAGAAGTTTCAGGCATCCTAGGCTTGACACTGAATGAAAAGACGAGCTAGCCGTACTAAGCAATATAAAATTGTTGATCGCATACAGTAGCTTGTTCCTCATTCCGCTCCAATCTGCTTGATCTTTTTGCGGGTCCTGAGCCTTTGCATCTGTGTTTCAAACAAACCTTACAACGGCTTGTCGTTCACAGTGGAGTCACCGTCTTGCTGTACCTCACAACTGGTCATGTCGTCTAAGGGTTTCATAGAGTAAAATAATGCTCGCCACTCTATGAAAACATTTGAATCGGACTGTGGCTCTTTAGTCACAGTCCCCTCAACTCAAGGTAGACACATGTGCAATTAGTGGCGGTGGCAAATAAGGATTGAGTCCTTAGCTCGCATAAAGGGGGAGTGACTTGACGTGATGGATTTAACGCAAGCTCGCGGGAGTGGCCTGCCAAGACATGAGAGTGTTCTCAGCGCAAACTTTCAATGCACTTTCTGGGATTCGTCGCAAAGCCGCGTGATACTTCTTCCATAGCGACCTTCTCCTCATCACGAAAGTAGAATAGCTTTGCCAGCACGTACTTCATGAAAAATGGACTAGGAACGTTGGCAACGCGTACTTTAATGACCAAAAGTGTTTGTCGTGGCAGGATAGCCTCTTTCTGCAAGCCTGAGTTGTCGTGACTGGTACGATACAACGTTTCCTCTACCCTCATCATCGTGTTGCATCACATCATACCCAATTGCATTATTGCTCGCACCATATACTAAATGGAACAGCTTCTCATACTCTGCATCCTCAGAACACTCCCAATCATTTTTTAATTTCCAAGAGACGCGTTAACGGTTGTTCCAATGCAGTTTAGCTGCGTGTATAGGTGTACAAGTTCGCCATAACTGCAACCGACGTGGTTGCTTGTTGGTTTAAAAATTGCCCAACTGTCACTCATTTTAGCCTCCTTAGGGTCAGCGCGAACGCCATTTTGTCAGCTTAGGAACTGAGTAAGGAAATCTTAGGGCCGAAAAAGATGTATTTTTCTCAGCTTCGTGTAAAGTTTATTTTTCAACATTAATTGGAATCGTGACGAAGATGTTCAAGGTGAACATAAACTTCCTTCTCTTTCCTTGGCATATTGTGATCAAATATGTCGCCAACGCAGCGCGGTGGAAGTTCTCTCAATGGAATAACATTCTGACCATTTATAAATAGTCACTAGTGTGTACTTCAGACCTATTGGGACTGCCATACATTCCCACAGCATACGCTGCATACTTTTTAGGGGTAATATCTTTGATTGACAGCGCATAGACAGTGCTGCCAACAATTTTATCGAACATCAGATTATTTCCCGGAACAAGTATCAAAGCTCAGTTTGTTGATAGTTTTTTCAATGCGCCAGCTGCTTCAGAGACTGCAGTGCGGAGACTTGCTCTCACTCTCACATCACAGGTCTTCTGACGCTGTTCAAAGAGCTGATCGATAACATTGGCTTGTTCTTTTGGCGGCGATCTTTTGATACAGAAATTTGCTCACGACGGGACGTCAATCATGTGATGAACGCTTTTGTCAATTCGTCGAGTACTTTGTCTGGGGATATATCAGTATATTTCTTGACGAGTCCAAGCAAAGTTTTCTTAGAGCGTCCCGCGACTATTTTCAAACCTTTCTCCGAAGTCTCCTTATCGAGTACTTCCGCAGTGTTGATGGCATCATCGATAGCTTCTTCGACAATCGCACCTATTTGCACGGTTTCGCCTTTTGCCAGCATACTCTTAGGCATCTTCTTGCTCGTTGACAGAAGGAGGATAACTTTTTGAGTCAGACTCGGAGGATATTCAATTGATACCTAATATACTATCCTGCTGTCACCACACCATCTTCATTGATGAGAACGGGTATCAAATACCGACTCGTTTTTCATTCTTAGCTTCACCTCTTGCTTTTTTCGTGCCTTGGTTAAGGACGCTAGCAGATCAATCTACTTCTTATCTAATTTTATTTTGCCAGAGCAGAACTTCACATCGCTATTGGCTGCAAGAGTTGTTTTTATTGCACATTGGGTTCCATACCTTAAGTGGTCCTCATCAGCTTAGTGTTTGAGTGTTAGTGGTCATTGCACGCCAGACATCATCAGACGCATATAGCGGATGTACATACCCAAATCGCCTCTTTTGCCGCAAAGAATCCAAGATCTTCGTCGCCTCGAAAAAATATCACATTCAATTGCCAACCACAACAAGACCTTAGACATAGCCAATTTCGATCCATTCGACAGTTAAATTATTTATCTCCTTGTTCGAGTAAGTCGGATGTCATTCTTGCCTTTTCACCATTTGTCTGTGTGAACAAAATTTTCGACGCATCAATGTCTGCAATATTTGGTATAGATTGTTAGTAGCCGTCAAACCTATCCATATAAATTATCCCTACTTAACACGCTCACATCTGCTCACTGAAGATTTAAGTTTCTTTAGCACATCGGGACAAGTGTCATGTGCTACCACGTAACTCATAGATCTTTCTATTCGACCAGTAGGCGGCCGTGCCCCTACTGGTCATTACCGTTTCTGAAATTTGAAAGCACTCAAATCGTTCGCCGTTTTACAAATTAATTTGATCGCGAACCCTCTGTCATTTCCAGGACAACTTGAAAATCTTCGCAATGGGCTTAAATTGTCAGGAACTTCAACGTATTTCTGCGTGGCTGTCTGTTGCTGGTCGCATCGGCGTTCGAATTGTTCACCAGTTCCGCACCATCGTTCGGCGTTGGTTGTCGTCTCTTAGACTTAGTCGGCTTGAAGCTAAACGGTTCTGGAATCGCATGGTCGATGGCTTCGTCCATCTTGGTGGAACAGCTGGCTTAAAATCGGATTATCGTTGAAACAAGCATTGATACATCAATTGACTGGTTGACGATATCTGAAACGAGATATCGAGCCCGTTGTGCGTACGACTATAGATCGTATATACCCAAAACAAGATTTTGAGCTCTCAGCGTGAGCTCGAAATTCGCTCTTATGAAGTTCGAAGGTCTCGTTTAGCATTTTTAAGCCGTTCAGATTGTAAAGCAGCTTGACTCGGCTGAATACTTCCATTCACTCGTCCTTTTGCTCGACACGCAAGGTGAGACACTGAGTATATCACTTGCTGCACTGGATCTATGATTTGCCTCACAGCAATCGCTGCACCCAACTCTACGAGCCACCTCGCTAAACGTTCACTATATCAACCACGATGCGTAAATATACCGAGTTTTCGGCCGAATTAGGTAAAAATGTTTGTTAGTGACAAGGACAAGTTAAACGCCTGGATTGGTTTGTATGGATTTGACTTGAACACTAAAATACTGGTTGAGTGGGTATCAATTCTCATTAATCTACTAAGAATTTATTTAGAGAAGATTTAATTATAAACTTGCTTCACAACTCAAAGTCTGGGTTGGTCATGAAAACCAGCTTACACCACCAGAAAATCTTTTTACGGTGTATGATAGCTATGTAGACTGGCATAGTGAATACTCACTTATGATTATTCTTAACATCGCAAAGAAGAGCATGATATATTTTTACGTTCTTTCAAGTTTATCCATGTGAATCCACGATATCTCGAAAAGAATGCCACATCAGCTGAGTCAGTACAACCAAGTGGCGAGTCTACTGTGTAACGTATCACAGCGACATAGAAATATGGTAACCAAATCAATCCAAAACAAAAAAGGAACTATTAAAATTCCAGGTAAAGGCTTTTTCAAAAAGTTTATCTGAAAGATGCGTAGAAGGAATTGCAAGAGAGTGATATGACGGTCTAGTAACGATATTACTAGAAGCGATGCTGTGTTCATTACCTTTCAACGATAACTTCAAAAGTGAAGGCTCTCCAACAAATCTGAATGCCAAAAGCAAAGCAGTCGTTTTCTTGAAGCAGACAATCCCTTTTATTCTTCGCAGAAGAAATTTGCATCGTATTTACGAGGACCGCCCCAGATCGGACATCCGTCATGAAAATGACCATAACCCTGCAACCAAATGCTGCGTGACATACACGTGGGCTTTTCAAGACCCACGAACACAAACAAGCAACAACGTGACGTCATAGACTGTCTCTGCAACAATCAAAGAAACTTCGATGTGTAAAGAAAAATTTATCGCTCTGCACCTAGGTGTCATAGAAATTAAAGGTAAAAGCAAAACGTATACACTGTTCAGAAGCTAGTCGCAGCCACAAAATGAAACAGACTACATTTTTCTACAGTATAGTACAGCAATCTTGACTAGTATGGGAGCTATCAATTTCTCGTGTAAATTATTGGATACCTTCTCACTTTATTAAGTATTGAAAGAGAAATGCTTGGTGAGTAATAAATAATATAATATATCTAACACATCAGCAACCTTGAACAATACAGCAATTAAGATATCATCCTGCAACACATATCCATACAACAACATATTTGTAGCCATCCATGTTGAACACTCCGAGCTGTATCCGATTGTATGCACTTTATGTATGCTCGCCGATGTATAAATTTGTGGCTATATCGACGAGGTGATTCCGGCTTATAATCCTATATTGGGGAACATGCTTCGGGCACATCCCGCAAAGATTCAAGGCAAAGTAGACTCACAGATGTCACCAGCCCAAATTGTTTTATCTAAATGGCTTGACACGGGCAAGGTTTGCACAAGTATAGCTCAAAATACGGTGGTTTGGCACGACTGCTCGCTATCATCTATCATCCAGACATCCTTTTGCCCTCCCTACAAATTCATGTTTAATGATCTTAGACAAACAGAGCAATCAGACCATACTGTTCAAGAAAGCCTTTTGCGCGCCCGCATTCTGGTCTTATGAAAAAAACGGTCATTATATCTTTTGTTATGTCGTCTGCGACGCAAGTGGCAATTACTTTTGAGCATGTTCGAGCTGTTCTGTCTGAATGTCGCAAGCTCAAGACTTCAGTAAAAGACCATCCAAAGACCTTCCTGCCAGGAGCTATGCTATGGTCACTCTTAGGCTGAATGTGCACGGATCGAAGCCATTGTGATTAATGTGAATCACAATCCCAAATCTCCTCCCACGAAATGTCAAGATACGACCCGCCTTACTTACAAATCGCAGTTGTATTTTTATTAGCCTTAAAAATTATATTTCGTATGATACATACATTACGAACATCTCGGTTGAAGAAGGCGTGCGACTAAGTAAGTGCCGTGTAGCGGTGACCCAAAATGTACAAATGGGAAAGGTATTTATGGCGCAGACGTGAACCCTGAGATCTTGCTACATCCATTGTTCAGGCTGCAAGTACCGACAGAAAGCTGATATGCATTAGTGTGTTTTTTGGGGCTTTCAAACACATTTTTGGGAATACCAATATTATAGTCTTTGTGCAACACCTGCGCAAAGTGGCTCAACTCTCTGCTACCAGCGGTATCCAACAAATTTGTATTGCGGTGCTGGAGCGATATGTTCTTAATAAAAAAAATTCTCTACACGAGCCACTTTATGCCTCAACTAACTTCTTGCCTAATTCCCTTATCCTCATTGACTCAATAGCCAAACATAACCCTATAAATATTGCCATTGTCGCCAGCCGTAGTATCAAAGATACATTCGCACAATGGACGTCGACGGCTGCTGGTCCAACCATCCAACCATAAGCGGTTCTTCCTAAAAGTGAGTCTTACTCTATGACTGAGTTGTAGATTCATAAGCATAAACATTTCAGATTTGTACAGCAGCGGGATTTACAATTTGGCCGATCAAAGCGATTCACGATGTGATATGGTTGGTATTGATCGTTTCAAAAGTCGCCGTGACTTATGTGCTTGTGATCGAGTAAATTGAGCGTTCGGAGTACCGGTCAAGTGAATTCGTGATGACACCAAGTTTATTATCAGACCCATTGTAGGGAGTATTAGCACTTTCTAGTTTTTAACCAGCACGGTCTGCTCATCTCACACAAAAGTACGTGATAATCTTTTGAATGGTCAAGCCTCAAAGAGATTCTGATAGGGGAAGTCAGTGAAACCGTGTCGCTTTCGGGAACGAGATAGCGGTAAATCAAACTATACTAGTCAGAGAACACCTCGCTTTCTTTCTCTGATAATGTCAGCCACAGGGGTCCGGATATTATCCTTCGTTCTATGTGCTGAATCAATTAATTTATTTGAAGTTCCACGCGTGCTGCATGAGCTTGGAGCTTGAGCTGACGTGAGAATTTTAAGTATAAAGCCTCGAACAAAGTTCTTTTTACGAGGATAGGTTGTGACGCTATGCTTTGATACATCTTGTGCGTTCTATATTCCTTCAGACTCATGAAGCAAAGATAAACAGAAAATCGTGGCGGAGTACGGTGACAAAATCATTGATTTTAATACTAGGAACGAGATTGAGTGATGGTGAGAGGTCTTTGGGATGGCTGCTAGCCTGACGCAGTGCGATGATACATATTTTATTTCTAATTATCATAAATCGTTTGTTTCAATTATTGATTTCGATTAAATTCTGACAATTTCATTCTTCGGCCATTGGGTTCACTCCTTACTAGAGATATTACAAGCACCAGTTAAAGCTTCCTGTTACAATGACCCGGTTGCACATGCTAATACTTATCAATCCAACGCATAAGACTAGATAGCTGAGGATAGATCATAACACGTTCACCTATCCAATGCCAGGCCTGCAGAACGTTGCTTCTGTGTCAGGTGAGAAAGAACAGTCTGAGGCTTGAGGCCCGAAAGCTTTTCGTTCCCCAAATGCTTTTGCCAGATACAAATATGCACCTCCAGGTAGGTTTAAATCAAAAACTGATGAAAGTGTATTGATTACAATTGCAGCGGGGCTGCCGTAGCAAAATGCTTGAGGAAGCGTACATTAGATCACCGACCTTTTGTTCTTTACAAGAATCAAGTATGAGTTAGCGGATCGCAATCTGCTTATTTCAAGAGTGGTTATTGCCTTCCCCAGGCTAATCGACTTTACGGTTTAAATTCCAAACTGATTTTGATTCATTTTTTTATCCTGATTTTAAAGTTTAGATTTTCCTAGATATACTAAATATATATAGTAAAATCTAAATACATGAATAACTTCTGGCTACCTAGCCACATACCGTATTCTTGTTTGTGTGTGGTCACACCATGCACATCTCGTGTGACACACACCCCTGCTCTCAGGGTTCGTGTAACCCCGTTACAACAATAAAGTGGTGA